CGTTGGCGTGGACTGGGCACCCTTGGGAGAGGGTCCCACTGCTTCCTCCAGGCTCGGGGAGAGAGGGTCAGGCAGTGTCCGGGCTCGCCGCCTGTCCCCTCGGCCACCGGCTGCTCAGTTGTGGCTCCACAGTTGCGCGGGTCCTTGATCCGGGGAAGGACGGGGTGTGAAGGCTGCCGCCGGGCAGGGTGGGGTGACACCAGGAAGCACTCCAGCCCCACATTCCAACTTTGCCGCTTACCCGGGACCTGGGCGCAGCCCAGGCATCTGGTGACCAAAACCCGGGCGCAGCCCAGTTCCTTTGCGGCTGGTTCCCTGTGAAACGCCAAGCCCAGCTCCCCACGGACACGCGGTACCTTCTTGCCCGAGGAGTCATTTTCTCAGCACACGGCCCCATCCCCACGAAGGACAGAACCTCTAGATGGTGCTGAAAAGCGGCTGCCCCGCCTGTTTCTTGAACTGGCAACGAAGACACATCTGGCCGACAGGCGTTCCGTGCAGCAGGATTGACAGCGTCAGCACAGTGAGCGGAGAGCGGAGCCAGCGGTCGCGGTACCTTCTTGCCCGAGGAGTCATTTTCTCAGCACACGGCCCCATCCCCACGAAGGACAGAACCTCTAGATGGTGCTGAAAAGCGGCTGCCCCGCCTGTTTCTTGAACTGGCAACGAAGACACATCTGGCCGACAGGCGTTCCGTGCAGCAGGATTGACAGTGTCAGCACAGTGAGCGGAGAGCGGAGCCAGCGGGATTTTTCTCGTTTTTCTAGTTGGGATGTAAACCGGGGAGGGCCGGGCGGACTCTGTGCAGCACTGTATCCCGCACGTGGCACAAGCAGCCCTTCCCCAAGCCTGGGCTGGTGAAGGGATGGGAAACAGGCTGAGAACAGAATGCAAAGAATGCAGGTTGGAGGCTGCCCTTTGCCGACCTTTCCGCTCGGTCACTCAGTAGCCGCGGGGCCTGGAGGCCGGAGCACTGGGCGGCGGGACTAAGATCCCTCCGGAGGATAAGAGCCTGATTGGGGCGTCCACATGCTCACCCCGTGTTTAGAGTTCAACGGAAAGGTGTCCATTAGAGACATTTCTAAGCCACTGCTGGCTTCAGCACCGGGTTTTTCCTCCCTGTTTTCTTCGTGTTGATCCACCCAAGGATATTTTTCCATGGATTTTCTTTAGAGAGAATGAAGGGGGGCGGGGAGGAAAAGCATCCATGTGAGAGAGACACAGCGACTGGTTGCCTCCCGCACGCGCCAGACGGGCTGGGGGTGGAACCTGCCACCATCTCTGAGAAGTGTTGACAGTCCATCAGGTGAAGCAGGGATGCTCCCAGGGGCTCGCAGGTCCCGGGGGGCCAGGTCCCCGGGGTCGTCACTGCTGGGCCGGCAGCTGAGGCGACGGGAAGTGAGTGGGCACGGAACTCCCGCCAGAGGCCTGGCCGCTTTCTCCCCTGCCTGCTCGTTTCTTTCCATGAAAAGACGCCAAAGGCATTTACACTGAGGCTTGTTCTAGAAGACACCGGGCGGATGGTCACCAGATGCCGCAGCCGGGCACGGCCAGCACACGCCCCGCCGTCGCTGGTGGAGGGTGAGACCGACACCCCGAGAGGCGCACCGGCTCCCGGGGCTGCGGGTTCCAATGCGCGTGTTTATGCGGCAGAGGGATCACAGCCAGTTCTGGGCGGAATTCTTTATTTTGCTCAGTTTCTGCCGTTTCCGCTCCTGCTGCTGTGCTGGGGGGCAGGGCAGTGCGGTGAGGGGGGCACAGGCCTCCGGCCGCTGCAGGGGCCTCAGCCGTGGGCGCGGTCGGGCAGCACCGCCGTCCACATCACCCCCGTGACCTGTGCTATGGGCACCCGAGGGCGGGCGTGCCCTGGGAGGAGGCAGTGCCCTTGAGCCCATGACGCTCTCAGCTGGGTCAGGCTGGGCCCCTCAAATATTGACCGAGCGACGGGGAGCCCAGCGCTGCGTGGAGAAGGCGACACTAGGACCTGCCAGCGGGGCTGGAGGGGGTGAGGGCTCAGCCCGGGAAGCGCCCGGCCAGGAGCCGGCTGCAGCCCCCACCGCTCCCCAGGGTCAGACACGAGCAGAAGTGACCACGGTTTCCGTCCTTGTTCCCATGGGAAAGCCTGGTGGCCTCCCTGTAGGAGGGACCTCACCTTCTCTGGCTGGTGAGCATCTGCAGGGCCCTCACACGCCGGCGGTTTAAAGCTTCTAACTGTGGGGACGGACACGTGTGCGCGGTGGAGGGGCGGGAGACAGGGCTGGGGTGAGGCGCCCTGTGCACCCACTGTCCCCGGGCCCATGCAGCCCCAGGGCAGTCCCCGCTGGGGATGGAGCCCACAACCTGAGCATGTGCCCTGACCGGGAACTGAACCGTGACCTCCTGGTGCATGGGGTCGCTCAACCATTGAGCCACACGGCCGGGCAGTTTCTATAAGATTTTGAAGGATAGTTTAGGCTCTGCCTGCATGTGGCTGTTTGGACCCGGCTGTTGGCTTGGGGCGTCCAGGCGCCCGGCTGGGCAGCTAGAGGCCTGGTGCGCTGACTGTCCACAGGCCCAGGGCCCGGCGGCTGGGGCGGCCGGAGGGGCTCTGACCTGTCTTGCTGCCGCCTGTGGAGACGGCGCCCCCACAAAGCCCTGCTTTCCCCCTTCTCTCTGAAGAAGGAAACGTCTTTCCCTTTTCACTGTTGAGAAAGGAGCCTCATGCCAGCCCCTGCGCCTGCCCCTGCGGCTGCGGCTGCGACTCCAGGGCCCCGGGTGGGAGGGTGGCCTCCCCGTCGCTGACAGATCCTTGTACAATCAGCCAAAAGCTTACCCAGTTCTTGTTGTGACCATTGAATTCCCGATCATCCCCCTGAATAGACTGGGGGGGAGGGGTGAGACAGAAGGCGCCCCGTCTCCTGCCAGCGCTGGGGTCAGCCTGGCCTCTGTTCAGACGCTCGTTACCGAGGAAAAGCTGGGTCCCAGGGAGAGATGGGCCCAGCGGCTCTCACCAGGGGCTGCGGCTGGAGGAGCCAGAGCTGCCGGCGGAATCTCTCCTTCTGGCCACTCGGCGGAGGAGCCCCTGCCTCTCCTGACACTGAGCCAAAGTGGCCACACGGGCGGCTCCACGGGAAGGTGGCGGCCCAACCACCGCTGCTTCATAACAAACTCCCCAGACCACGGTGGAAGGGCGCGTGGCTCTGTGCGTGGACTCGGTGGTCAGATTCAGAGGTGCAGCGGGGAGGGTCTCCCTGTCCCGGCCGAGCCTCAGCTGGGGGGACAGGAAGGCTGCAGCCCCCCGATGGACCGTGGAGTTTCTCTCCTCCCAGCCCAGCGCCTGGCCAGGTCTCTTCAGGGGCCGCAAGGCCCCCCCCCGCCTGCCCACTGCC